AATATATCTGTTCAAACACTCCTTATTAAAGTTATTACATAATACGTAGATAGTACTTTTCGTATAAAAGTTGGCACGAACTCTTCTTTTATAGAACAATATAAAATTTAGTAATATTTTGTACCTAGAAAGCAATAAAAACATGATCAAAAACAGCAATTGATTTTTGAAGAATTGTTTTTGATAAAATTTTCGTCTTGTTAGATTACCATGAATTTGAAAGTTTAAGTTGAAAATGCAACAATCAAGGACAATTAGATACACCTTCAAAAAATCGTGACTATCTTTGATCGTGCAGAATAGAAGGTACTAATTTTTGGCGCTCCAGCAGACTAAATCCAATCCAGTCCAAACCATATTAATAATAATATATTTTACATTCCTATAATACACCTAGTTTTGAAATGAAGTTATCGAATTGATTTCATAGCAGTCGGAGTTTTTTTTTTTTTTTTTATAAAAGTGTGTTTATTTTAACTAACTACTTAATAAGCAGAGCAGAAAAATGTACAGAGTTGGAAGTAACAAGATCAATAAATATGCAAATAAAGGCTTGCTGGGTTCTTGATAATGCACCTTCAAAATGGATCTAATTATCCCCTTTTGGGTGACAATGACATAATTCAGGTAATTAAGGGTTCTCCGGAATACAAGACCATACCTTAAGATGGATTCTATAAAAGAGTAGTAATATATAGATTATTAAAACATTAGTTTCGTAAATTATTTATTATAAAAGACGCTTTATGCATGATCAAAATTTAAGCGGTCATCAATTTCAACCCCTGGGAATTTAGTTTCGTCTGTTGTAGGAATTGACTTTGAGTTCATTTTAATATAGACATTTTCATTCTCCTTTACAAATACATTTCGAAATTGCAAGAAGACTGTCTTATCCTTATCGAGCACAGTTGAGTTAGTTGTGAACCGCCCTGTCATTCATTTGACTAAATTATTTCCTGCTGTTGTTATTTCATACATATTTTTGCCAGTGATTATGCAGAAGTGTCATCAGCATATTGATATACTGAGCAGTTGGCTAGATATTCTCCCAGATCGTTAACATATGTAACGAACAAAAGAAGGCCCAATATAGAACCCTGCGGAACTCCTCTGGTAATTTTCATTGGGCTTGAAAATACGTAACCACCCGATTTTGCCTGCACACAGTGTTTATTGGAAGCCTTCATCGAATCGAACGTCTTGGACGACTAATATAACAACAGTAAGTAGTCGTGAGTGTAATTCGGGAACAAGCAGTAAAATTTTAAAAGACTTGTGGAACTGTCTGGAGCATGTGATAAAAGTTGAAAATAGTTTCTTGAACACAGACACAATCGACGACGACGAGGATTTTGATTTTTAATTTGTTTATAGAATTAGCTTCCCCAGTGTTTTCATTGTTCTAAATATATCTTAAACTGAGCGGATTTTATAGCACATCTGATTCATAGAACCTTTATTCCTTTCAGCCATGCAGTCGCGGACAGAAGGTTGTGTCTGTAAATTATCATTACTATTATAATCTTACGCGGTTCCAATAAACACTTGGAAACAAAATCTATGGTCACTAAGTGGAAATAAATTGACTATTGCATGCACATGTATTAAAAAAATGCCTAAGGAATACAACTCGACAGTTTTTATTAAGAAATTAGAAACTTGTTCTAATTCAGCAATTTCTTGGTAATGATTAACATGTCATTTTCTGATATATTGCCAGTATTTATGTTGTCAAAATTGCAAACAGGAAATCAGTGTTGAAATATGTATATAGTTAAAAGTTCGTTCTTTGGGAATTCATACCGTTCCAAGTGCATAGCGAGAGAGCAATAAAAAATACCATCAACGACATCCATGAATTTCCCAATATTTGTCTTTGATAAAATTTTGGTCTTGTCAGATTACCGTTCATTTGAAAATTTGAGTTGAAAATGTAACATTCAAAGACAAACTTTCGAGAACGCATGGCTATCTTTGACAGTGTTTTTTATTGCTCACTTGATATGTGCAACAATGTGGTCAAGTAATCGTAAAGTTGACACGTTTTTCTATTTAACTTGCTATTTCAAATGCCCCTGCCTACTTTGCCATTTTATAAACATTATTTACATTTTGTTATGAAAATATTTCATATTTTCTTGGGCTTCATTGATATTGGAAAATAATTTTTCATAAAAAAATTAGCAACACCTTGAATGTACAGTTTATTTAAAAGTTTTATATAAATGACCCAGATATTATTTCTTCGTATCATAAAATACTACAAATTTAAATAGTGCGTATATGTATGTATGATGTATGCGTTATGGTTCAAATGATTGTCAACCCACCAAAAAATATAAAAAATTCAAAAAAGATTAATTGCCATGATGGTCCCGGTTAGTAATATTCTAATTTGATACTCAGCCTGACCTTCTGGTACCCTCACGATACGAAATTTGTTTCTCATTTTTTTTGTTGGTGTGGTGATAGTAATTTTCATCATAATAGATTAATACTAATGAAATCTGTAATAAATAACCTCGGAAAAAGTTTATCAAATGTCGGTAATTAATTAAAAATGGCTAAATTGTTAATTACCATCATTATCACCAATGCATAATCATATAATCACATCGCCTCGATGTTAAATCGTCAGTGCAAACCTTGCAGTTACAACAAGATACAAGATAAAGAATTTCTTAACACTGTTTGCTGCCTGACTGAAATGACTTTCGACTAAAGTGTCCCGGAAGATAACAGCATAGCTGTTGAAACGCGTCGACAGTTTTTTGAAATTTTTATTATGGAAATATTAACAGGCTTATGTTATTATTTAGCTTCGAAATTGTTTTTGTAGTACTTTATTTTAACCTTTATGAATAGTTTATTATATTTTTTGACGTGCCCGATTTTTTTGTATACATCGTCTACTGCACATTTGTTAGCAACAAAAATGCCATTTTGTTTGTTTAGTTGTTGCTGCGTTGTAGTAATTAATCTAAATGATCTTGTTGAGATAAGTTGAACACTAAGGAATGTTTTGCACATGTTTATCAGCGTTAATCCACTGTTATGTCTTTCAGTTTTTGATGTTTCATTTATGCTTGGATGAAGTGTTGGATTAGAAACTGGGATAGCTCTCTATAGTCTACATTTTTGGAAAGAAGTTTATGTTGTATTACTCTCCAAGTGTATTTTTTCCAAAAAAAAAAACACTGACAAAAATGAAAATTTCTATTTTCATCTACCTGTCGTTTAAATGTTAGAAAGAGATTAGTTATTTATTTCTATAACTAAGGCACACGGCATATTGTAAATAAAATCAATCTAAATTGAATTGTGCGTTGTAACAAGTTCCTATATGACGAATGGCTACTTTCATGTTTTCTGGACGTTTCATGACCTGTAGACTACGAAACAATAGGTCTCCTGTTTATGTATGTCTGTCCGCCGTCTGTGTCGATTTTCATTAGATTGATAGTCTCAAAATTTAATAAAATAACATACCCCTGTACTTTTGGTTTATGAATCTTATTTTATATCACAATATAAATAAAATTTCGCACAATCTAATTTTATAATTTTTCGAAGACGTTGTGTTTACACGGGCGAAGAAAGTTCTGTCCGAATACTGTAGACATTTTTGCCTTGTAATATTATTCCAAGATGTGTGAAGAAGATATACTTACATATTTCATCTTATATACTGTAAATATATACATATATACCAAAACTAGAATATGTATCCGCAGCAAAATATTAATAACCTTGGATCAAAAAATTATAAAATAAAATTTTAATAAAGAAATTATTCTGACCTGCAAGCGATATTGGTTGTCCTTCGGACGCAAAGGAAGTCCTGTAGACATGTGTGTAAAAAACTTGACAGGTTTTTTAATTCAACTTTCATTGCATTATTATGTAATATTTTGTGGATTTGCGTAGCTGCAAGAATGTACAAAGCAATTTCGTTATTTACAAAAAAAATCGTAAAAAAATAACATTCTTTAAAACGAAATAGAAATAAATGTATTTTTACATTTATGTAATTATATATCATATATCCCAAGTATAATATTTCATCAACTTCATAACGTAAATCCCCTGGCCTGCCGTACATCTGAAATTTATGTATAGTGAACGGATATGGTTAATAATTCTGCATTATTATTATTATTATTAAATGCCTAACACCTTTACACCGTCTGTCTTATTATAAATCAACTTAATCATACGGTTATATCCTTAACTCCTAGCGATACTACATTCAGATACAACATTAAAAATATTAATGGAATACGGAGATAGCATAATCGTAGAATGAGTTGGGGCGTGTATTGATATTTCGTAGCCTTCAGAAATGTATTGCCTTATTTTTTAACGTGCTGAAGATCTTGCTGCAGGTATGAATCACGACTCAAAAAATGAGACCTCACGAAGTGAAGGTAAATCGTTGAATAACTGTTACATCATGAAACTGTATTAAATTACCAAATAAAAAAATATCAGTTCAGAAGTCAAGAGTGGCAACAACCACTCCTTTACTTGTTTTCAATTTCGAAATGTAAATAATTGAAATGAAGTGAGTTGCAATAAAACAAATATGAGCGTCGACGCTTGTAAATTTTTGCTTCGAAGACGTTCACTGGGATATCTGTAAATAACCTGGAATGCGAGATGTCTTTTTGTTCGTTGTTTCAACACACTAAAATATTCATGTCTTACATGCGTGGGAAGTGCTCCAAACAGTTGCGTTCAATGCCTCTTCTGCATTTTCCCCATTCATTGAAGTGGTGTGTGTTTACAACAATTCGTATTTATAGTCTTTGTAACGATAGATCAGTTACTCTGAGGGACAATTTTGGAGTCGCAGAGAAAGTCGAGTTCAGTAGACTAAATCACTTAAATGTAAAAACTATATTATATTGCAACTGAATAGTGAAGAAAGTCTCTTAATCATTACACTACACTACTTTACCTTGACGCCAGCTTTTACACTTTTTCTTTCATTTCAGAATTCTCAAGTGAGTAACGGAAACGACATTCGCCGATTATCATGTAGTAGCATCGCTAGTAGTAGAAGAACGTCGATTTGTTCAAGCCGAATTTCCGAAATTCCAGTCGAAAATATCGTCCAACAGTCAAAAGTCAATACGCTGCAATGGCAACTAAAGGAGGTAAATACTGTCTGATCGGAAAAAAAAATTGGAAATACTGATTTTTTCCGCAGGTTGAGAAAAGTCGGGAAATGTATAAAGCGGTAATGAAGCAAGTCGTAACCTTCTTGGAGAGGGCACATCGCAGTTTAGAATTGCTAGGAAATAGACTAAATGCCAAGCCGACCGTTCCACGTTCGAAAAGTGAACATCAAATTGTCGCAGGCGACAATGGTGTGGACACTCTTAGCAACACAGACGACTTTACGATGTTTCGAGATTTCACTTGGTAAGTTACTAGCCGAAGAATTCAGTGCAAAAGTGAACCATGTTTATAATTAGCATGTTTTGAGTTAATTATAATACTTACCTACTTACGTATTGTTGGAACAGAGAGTACTCAAATATCATATAATAGACCAAATGTATGTATTGTTTTAAAGTTTAACCAACATTTTAAAAAATCGAAGTTATTAAAAAACAACTTGAAATGGTTCGCAGCGTAATTTTATTGCAGCTTTTGATCGAATTAATCGTTATTTCGATTTTGTGTGTTCAATAGACATAACGGCACTTATTTCGAACCGAATTACCTTAATTTTTGAGATTTTTTATATTCATCCAGTTTTTGAAAAAAATTTTTACCAGAATTTTTTGAAATTATTTTGTAACTATGCAGTATTGGAAAAAGATTGGGAATCATTGGAAACTGATTTCTTCTTCGTCTTCGCATGTGCTGTATTTGTGATGGTTCTTCTCCAAAATAGCCTGGAATTACTTGTGTTGATTTAAAGTAAAATTAAATAAAATAAATTTTACTATTTTACTCATGCGTTTATATCTGTTCGTCGATATAAAATCACACTTTTAACATAGGTAATTTATACACCCACGTACAGTACAACTACATTTTCTACAATACACCATAAATTAATGCTAATATGATTACAAAACTATCGTATAGATGGTTAAATGCTAACCAAAATTTGGTTAATCATCGCCACCAACAATGTGGCGTCATTTCAATGAATGGTATTCTAAAATCATTTGAATGTTACAGAAAAATATACTCATGATATAGTTGTAGTGTACGAATCCGTTTCAACTTTTTCGCTAAACGTTCAAATTTTCGCAGAAACATTTGCAAGGTATAATAACGTTTCATTCCCAACACCGATGGCGACCCTGCGACACTGCGATTGTGTGTTCGATACAGAACTTGGCCGTTTTTTTTTTTTCTTGCATTGGTATAACGCTATGACTACTTTTCTTTTGTGCTGTGACTCGAATGATCCGTGTTGATGATGTCATCACAAATTTTTTATTGGTCAAATTAAGAACGAGTCACTCCATTTTCTCGAAAATGTGAAACATGCACACGTCTTCATATATTAATGATAAAATAAGAATTATAATATTCAGAAATTTTTTTTCGATTGTGTTTTAACTAATAATTTTAGTCCTGTTTTGAGAGGACAAACTCATTCAAATGAAACTAATTTCTAATATTGTCTATTCTGACATTCTTTTGGTGTATATAAACATAAATAAACACTTGAGCTTCAGATTGTTAAAAACGTAGTGCTGGAGGACAAGGGGTGTTTTTTATGCCTCTGGTTTTTACTTTATAAACGAAAATCGGAAAATCAAATTTTATATATATTTTTTAAAGAGCTGGATTTGTCGGATTATACTTATAGCCTTCGACCAATTTTTTATTGACTGAACATCCATTTACTATGTAGAATTTTGAAATGACGTCATTACATTATTGAGGATGCTTAGACAAAATTTGGTTAGCGTTTTACCATCTGAATGATATTCCTAATATAAATACAAACTTTGGCAGCAATCAGCCCAGTACATTTGGAGATACCCGTCTAATAAAAGTCCGTCCGGCAGACAGACGGAAAGGGGAGACCTATTTCTTCGTAGTCTAGGGGTCATGAAAAGTCGAGAAAACGTAAAAGTCCCTTACGCTCGGGAAGTACAAATTACCACATCATAATTTCAAAAATAAAATGTGGTTGTAGAGCGTAAGAATAGACAAATTAGAGCACGTGAGAAATTATAGGGTGTTAAATTAAAAGAAAAAATAAGTTATATGTTGTCCTTGAGGAGTGTTAACAGATTTCTTGCTATGCCATTTTAAATATAAAATGTACATAACTTACTCAATATAACAGCGCGACATTTTTTTAGAAAATAGTTTGCCATTATCAATCTTTTTAAAGTTTGGGTGAAATTTTCATCACGTATTTTTAAAATTCAATATCTCAATTTTCGTAAGAACAGAACAATTTGTATAGCTGAAAATAAAGTTATTTTATTGTGTAAACAGTCACAACTTTTTTCTATTTCCTATATTTTTATTTCCACCCTATATGCACTTTTAACTGTAAAAACTCGTAGAATATCGACACACACATAAAAAAAACATGGACATATTGTGCTTGTTCAGAAATGGATTTCCAATTTTATTTAATTAAAAATTAAAACTTTGGTTAGTAAAACATTAAATAAAAGACACAAATCCCCGCTCAAACCGTTCTATATTTACAGTTTTGGCAAATATTATTGAGTCAAGGGTCACATTTTGATTAATGCTAAGCCTTAATTTTCCCGCTTCCACCCTTCTTTAAAACACTTCAGAATTCTTAAATGTTATTCACGCATACAATATGTATAAACTTTTTTTTATAAATAACTTCGTGTGACAAACATTATTTTCTTAATTTAAATTACTAATTAATTCTTCCTACATGTTTTAATACTTGTACTAATGCACATAAGACAGGAATTGTACCTTTTCTCCCCTTGTGAACAAAAAGTCATAATCACACTAGTAAGGAAATACACCTTATCTTCTCTACATCTTTTCTACAAACCCATTTCTGTAACAAAATTTATTTCTAAAATTGTAAAGTTGCTTTTAAGGATTATGTTATCTGTAAAGTATTAGCTTTGACCAAAAATAGAAAGAGCAAAGAATGACCTCCAAAAATAAGCGAACACCAAATTGGGCGAAAAGTGACCGTCAAATGAAATATCAAAATTAACATATCGGTAGGTAGTTTTCAAGTTACGTGATTTAACAGGGATTTTTTCTTTCTTAAAAAAAAAGTAGTATTTGCTTAAAAAATTAGAAAATTAGTAAAATTAACTCGTTATTTTCAATTTACATTTTCTAATCTGAACATCTGCAATTTTCATCCTGCTCAGTCAGTAAGTAAACATGAGTGTGTTTCTATGAGTAAACGACACTTTTTTTAATAAAGGAATTCTCATTATATTTGTTATCAAATCCCTTGCCTTTAGATTTAGAAACGTTGCGTTCTGTTGCGTGTCTTCTGATTCACATCTTTGTTTTATCTAGTTACTGATTTATGCACATATTTCCTATTGTTTTTAGACTCAAAAACTAGTTGTGAGCTTTAACAAGACCACCTGATAAGATTGATAAGAAGTTGATCTACTTTTAAATTAATTATGCTCTGTGGTTCTTAACTTTCATTTTTTTCTTCACTTCTTGGCGCCTTCTTGCAAATGTTTTGATTTTTAAGCCAACTGTATACCAGTCTTTTACAATTTTGCACACATTCCTCATCATTGCAGTAACAACATTTTATTTTGTTTTGTAGGAGACGTCCAAAGAAACAAGAGCTACCTCCAGACGAAATCCCCCCCGAGAAACTATCCCAAGAAGCGTTCCGGCTCCTCCGAACTGCTCAATCTTTGTTGAACACTCAAGAGCCTAAACTTGCTTCTGTCGATGATGCACCCGACGATCTCGAGTTCCTTGCGCAACTAGCTAAAGAGTTTCCTCAAATTCCCGAAGTCAAACCCCAAAGGGCAACATCGTTTTCCCTTAGCCCAAAGCTGCTTACTCCGGAAAAGGAAACTAGAATCTCGACTGCCTTCAACAGGAAATTGTCGCTGCAACTGAATGAAACCAGAAAAACCACGTACAAATATAGTCACATTCAGAGGGCGTCACCTAGAGGCAGCGTAATCGAAGCTCCATTCATGTCGTCAACTATGAACGATTTTAAAGATCACCATGTAGGTTGCAGCGATAAAGTTAAATTTAAACCTGAATCGGAAAAATCAAATTCGCCGCCAGCTGGTAGTGTCAGCTCGGTTGAAGACGAAAGTGGATTTTCTTCAATGAATTCGTTTCAAGATGTTGGTTTACCTATAGTGGGGGATGAGGTTAATACCAAGAATGCTTTGCTGAGAAGTATGTTACATAATAATGTTGAACCTTTGAACGGTTTTGCGAGGAGTGTTGATAATTCGGTAAAGAATGGAAGTATTGAGAAAGATGTAAAGTTGTGGGAAAAACCTGATAACGTCTCGCATAAGAGGTGGAGTTCAACGCCTGTAAATTGTTCCAGTACTAAACAATCCGTGAATGTATTGTGGGTTTAGTTTTGTCCACAAAATTAACATTTGCCATTTATGTATATTTATTTTGATAAGTAAAACGAATGTGATAAATTTGTAAATCTTTATTCGTATTTATTTACTGTTAAGCGTCACTTGATATAAATTTTTGCAATAATGTACGTATGAAATTAGTGTGCTTTCGAATTTTTGAATAATGGGGTATATTTTTAACTAATAAAATAGGTATCCTATGTAAGAAAACTTTAAATAAATTGTTGTAATATTGATGGGTTTTTAATTTCTTCAAAGATCGTATCAGTCGCTACATTATAATAATATATAGATGCTCATTAAGATAAAGTGTAATCCATCATATGCTTCCGGATATTATTTAAAATATTACAAAGGTAAAAAACAAAGTCGCTTGATCTTTACATTCATATCATATAAAACTAATAAAGAAAGAGTATTTCGATTTACATTAATTTAAATAAAAAATTTGCACTCATAAGTTGTAATTGCCATACTATTAATGTTTTTGGAAACTCATTTTTCAGATAGTAATATAGTGTACAAGTTTCTAAGTAATGACAATATTATGAATTCTTTAAAAGTTATCTTTGTGATTGTTTTTTTGGCATGTTTTTCTTCTAGGCACTGCACCCAGAACAGATTTCATGTAACTAAATCAATTGCATTGGTTCTCGTTTCTCTTAAACTGAAAAAAGTTGGGCTTTTGAGATCACAATTTTTTTTCAGGGGCTTTATTTTATATAATTCATTATAACATCAATGAAAAAACGTAAAAAAAAATCAGAACTGTGTTTGGCAGAAATAAAACAGTAAACACTGGAATTATAAAAAATTGTCATAACGGTGAGTGAGTTCTCTAATTTATCGAACCAGTTAAATTTTTAATTAAAATAAATGAGACATTAACTGAGAGAAATAATAATGTAATGGCGAAAGTCCTAACAGTTGTTCCAAATTCTCGAAATATGAAGCAAATTTTACAGTTGGTTTAATTAAGATATAAATTTAAGACTATAATACAGGTAAATTAGGAAACTATACCAATGCAGCTTTCTGGTGATGACTGAACATTTTTTGCTGAACCTAAATTTAAGGTTATAAAAAGAAATAAAATATACAATAAGAAAACCCCAAAATGGCGTCATTGTATCGTTATCGTTGTTATATACATAAATAGGTACCTCATATGTCTTAATTACTTGTATACTACTCTACAGGCATTCTGGAACCTGTGTTTGAACACACTTAACTTCACATTTCCAGTTAAATTATTGTTTGTTATTTTGACTTCGCAACCAGTCATAATAGGAGTTTCAATTCTTTGCCGTTGAATGAAATAAATATTTTGTTTGTAAATAAGATGACAAGAAAGAAGGCACAGTTTATTTTTTGAAACAAAAGGTTTTCTTAATTTAATACCGACGTGCAAATAAACCATGCATTTTAAAGAACAAGACAGAAAATCAGAGAATGTCACTTAAGAAAATCTGTTGTGCTTTTTCTCAAAACTTTTTACGAATATACCTGATTTGATATATTATTTTTTTCTAAATAAATATTGTCAATTTTTGTTGAAAATTTAAACATCTCTTTGACTTTATGCCTTATTTATTTCGACAAAATTTTAGCGTTCAAAGTCTGCTCCTTCAGGGTGGCACATTTTTTTTTTTTTAACGAAATGCATATAATAAACATTATGTAGAATATGTAATCTGTAATATTGGTGTTCATACATATGTGACTGACGTGTGTCAATGACGTGACTGTTTTTGGGGTTCTGTCTGGCTATATGAACAGAAACTGATATATTTCAAAAGAAAGTGGAGTGATTTCAGCGTTATTTAAAATGGTTTCGCGTTTCGTCAGCTACTTTAGCATTACCTAGACAAACCGTAAACTATTTAGTCTCACCGTTTTGTCTAACGTAGTTACGAACCGCGTCCACAAAGAAAATATTTTTTGTGTTTTCCGTGTTTTGGAGAATAAAGGTTTATTTGGTTATAAATGTTATTATACCCACTAACTTTACTAACTTTTCAAAAAAAAATTTGTTGTTAACGCTTTATTTACTTATTTGCAAAAGTTTATTTACATAAGGTGGGGTATCAAATTAAGTAGTAGATCCAATATGTTTCCCAGCACGGCGAGGAGCTCGACAGGCGAACTTTTCAAACTGGTTCCACTCATTTACTGCAAGGAAGTTTTCTCCCAGTTTGACAAACACATCCAGTGTTTGTGGTTGTTTTCTAGAAGAGCTTCTAGACCTCTCACGATTTTGGAAAGGATTCATATTTCACTTCTTCTCTATAGAGGCGGTCTGTTGTAAGGCTTCCAGAAGGAACAGAGGGAGGTAATGCAGGAGTAATTCAACTAGTACCCTAGTGGGAAAGCCCTTAAAAAACCCACTGAAAAATGAGGCGGTAAGTACCTAGATTAGAACCTGGGACCCAAATATTAGATTTCCTTGCCTGGAACCTCCAGAAAAAGAAAACCTGCAAAGGCCTTTTACCTGGCCTTTAATCGAATAAGATCAGGATGGTACTGAAGCTAAAATAAGATGTGAGAGAGGTTTGCGTCGAGTACTCATCACCTAATCTGTAGCGACACAAGCGGTTCGTTAGAGAGTCTGACGAAATGTAGCTAACAAAGCGGACCGGATTTTGATACAGTATTGATTTTTACAGAATCCAGAATTGTTAAAGTATGCGATCTAGCAGAAAGTTTTTTAAAAATGAACTTTTAGCATCCGCAGATGTATATATTATCCATCATATTTACTTTGTTAATAGGTAAAAACAAATTCACGAACAAACGGAATTTTTAAATTTGAACTGAATACTGGGAATAAATGTATAGTTGGGCTAAAGATCTAGTGCGGTTATAGTTTAATTGCTGCTCAATTTGTGATAATTTTTACAAGTTGGTCCAAACGGGCGTAGTAAATCCATTTATCTTCTCCTAACTCCTATTGTATGTAAGTCACACAGTTGTATCTTTCACTGAATTTTAACAGATCACTCATTAAAAACCAAGTACAATACAGACTTAATTAATTTTTTTACATTTATTTTTTGCTTGACGTTTGCTTAAACACCAATAAAATTATTAATAGGTATTACTAAAAATAATGAAGGCATTATATTTGAATTATTTGTAGTTTCTTTTTTAGGGGAGAAATGTAACTTAGTACAAAACAACCCCATGGGGCAGGCAATTGTTTAGGTCAGGTCAAATCATCGGCATGCGGTTACCCGCAGCGATGGGCCACGAATGACAATGTGCAAGTATTTTCGGGACAGTTTTATCTTCGGCTTGCCGTTAAGGCTGTAGTAATTCATGAATATCTGCGCCCTCTATGAACAAAAAAAGTAGTCAACAATTGTTCAGAGAACTTTGTTTTACTACAAGAAAATTCAAGTGAAATGATTTTTTTTTGTTGTGTAAGAAACTCCGAAACTACGAAATCCAAAAGCTAATGGCTAATGGAAAAAGAATAATGAAGGTATTACTTAAAATATAATTCAAAATAGGGAACAAAAATCTAGGTAGCTACCTAAGTATTAGGTATTTAGAATTTATAAAAATGTTGACAGTTCTATTTTTTTACAAAAACACACACTAGAAATAATCAATAAACTTCTAGTTGAAACGTTATAATTTATTATCGAAGTTATTTACTTTTCTCACAGGAAATTGTGACAGTTCTTACACAGTAGGTTCTTATACATACGGTTGGCTTCAATGAAACGGGAAAAGAAATTTGACCTAATGTCTTGTCTATTGACAATAGTATCTGTTATTTCCATAACTGCCACAACTAACATTTCTGACACATAATTAATAAAATTTGACTTGTTCTGACATTTAAGAGATATTAAAATTCTGTAAACACAATTGTTTTTAGTTGGAAGGAGTACAATGCAAATATGATATATATGGCATCGTCATTGTAACACAATCCTAGTTACATATTTTTAAATTAACACATCCATCGATTTGAAAACAAAGAGGCGTGGTTTGAAGATTCCTCTTTGGAAATATACTGAAACTTTAAACCTGTTAATACAAAAAAATGCTCTAAAAAATATTAAAACAGGAGTTTCCTTAACTCTAAAGTACAACAAATGCATGTTAAAGCGTATTTTTTTATTAAAAATGTATTCAGTAATTTTTAGTAAAGGTAGATACTCAGTTGCGTGAGGGAGGATATTTAAGAGGACAGCATGATGCGACCATTCTCTTGGCTCGTAACCAGCGTCTTGCATAATGTCGGATATTTATTGTTATTATTAATTAATAATAAAATTATTATTGATAAAATCTGATAAAAACCTGGTCCCCTGATAACAAAATTAGCAGTTGATAAAAAACTACAAACATATTAATTTGAATGTGTATCATGTAATACCATCAATGTTATCCCGCCCTAAAACTTAGAAAAGAAAACGTAGAAAAAAATGGTTATGCTATAGATCGAAAGTGAGATCTTCTGTATGGAAAGTGGAAACTCTTGGTGAGCTTTACAGCATATATTGATGCTGATATTATAGCACTACAGAGCAACTTGATTCGTAGAAACACCTTTATAAGACCATCTAAAAAAATAATTATACATATAGTACAATAGGTGTTTTGTAACCATTGGAATAATTTCGTGGAATAGCAAAGTTTTGATTTTTTTGCTAATACAGACAACCGACAGACGGAAACGAGGACAGTATTCTCTGTATAAGCTACGAACCGTCGAGAGAACATTAAATTTAAACGTTGTTCTTTCCCAGATGATGCTCTAAAAATAAGCATTGAAAATATTTTTTAAATTAGTGAAGATTGTCCATTGCATTACGATGGCATCTGACGTTGGTAAAAAACATCAGTATTAGAGAACGAATGTTGGTTTTATTAATATTAACTTCTCATAATTATGCAAAACTATCTTTATTAAACTATTGCTATAAAAAATGAAATGTTAATCAGAACTGAATACAGACTGTGTCAGTTATTTGTTATGTTACATAGATCGTTATTTTCGGATTTTTTATAGACTGGCTGCCTAGAATTATTGCGATAAACACCAAATATTAATATTTTGATTTGAAAATAATAATATTTGGTAATTAATAAATATTTATTGATTTCCACATCAATGTCTATCTTTGCAAAAGCATGTCTTCAATGTAGTTTGCTGCGTCTAGAAGTTGACTGAAAATTTACCAATTCCAAAGAAATGTGTTTATTCTTTACACTAGACCAGTCCTTAATGATATTCATATATACCGGATTTTTAGTTCTCCTAAATTTCATTTCTAACCCATTCAACAAACAATCCTGTCCGAGAATTATTAATTAGCAGTTCAGCAAGAAAATTTGCATCGCAATGGGATGTGTGTTTTGATAACGTTTGACGCAAACGTGTCTCGACAACGTTTTACATTTATTTGATACAAATGTAAACACTACACTTGGTGTTTGAGCTACCGTTTTTAGAATAAATAAGTACTTATTCAAGACTTGTTACATCCAAACCTCTTTTTGATTCCGTACTAATCTAATTTGTGTCATGAATTCTAAAGAGTTTGGAGTTATTTTCAATATGCTTTTGTTGATCTGAATGTGTATATGTATACCCACTATATTTTGCATAGACTTAAAGTATTAACAATCGAATCACATATGCACATCTTCGGGGTGGTAGAAATAAAAAAGCGCCAGGCGCTTTTTCTGAGTTTTTAAATAAAAATATTATTAAGTTCTAAGAAACGAAAAACCATTTTAAGAAGTTAACCTTCTGTGAATTGAAGCATTTTTAGTGAGTTTTAGTCAATTAAAGAAGGTAATTAAATTTCTGTAGGCACTCTAGGCTTTTCGTGATTTTTCTTTTTGTTGTTATCGCTTTGATTATGTTTGGTGTTTTCCACAAAGCCTGGCGATGAGGCGCAACTTTCTATAAAGAAGTTGGCCATTTCATTTCCTTCTAGAACAAATAATAATCTAAGAAAATCAAATTATCATCTTGTTATATGTGATTAGGTGTATTGTTGCTTGCCTAATTCCATTCCCGACTCCGGTTGCTGTTTATCAGCTGTCGGTAGGTGGGTTGCAGCAGTCCGGGCGCAAGCGCCGTCATCAGTAAAAATGTCAGATATGCTCGCAGGAACACGAAGATTGGTTATGTTGTAATGTATTACAGCATCGTTTAATTGCCGGCTATCATGTGTAATTTTCTATCAGCATTATCAGCATCGTTATCAACCTTGGACTGTAACCCGGAGCGGCGGTAGCAAGTCGACGCGCCAGAGTGCAGTAATGTCGCGTCGTGGAGCGAACTATTTTAGTACGAATTGATTGCGGTGGTCCGCTGGCCGAACCTCGTCTTATTTATGCAGTAAGTCCGCTTCTGGTGCGGTCGCCCTTTTTTATGGTATAGTGTCGAGTGGTGTCCCACCACTCAAAAGCCGCCAAAATTCCGCGCTCAATCTACAATTTCAGTGACAGTGACAGTGAGATGAGCTACAAGGACCGCAGCTCACCCAACTTACTGGAAAGCGGTCTCAAATCCTTCCTCGGACACCCCGGACACAACTATCCCCTAATTAACGGTGAGTGACGGCATGCCGCCGCGAGTGCGCGCTGCTTCTGCTGCCGGTTCCTGCGGGAAGTGCCGGAAGCGGCTCCTGCAGGACCTTGGCGGCTTCCGCGTTTTTACTTTTCATTGAAAAATCGGGCTTACAAGTGTGCTTTCGTAAACACGGCATCCGCCGATTATTTTCATTTCCTAAATATTGGCAGTCACATGTTTCTTTCGGCGGTGCGCATGCGTACGCCACCGCATTACTGGCGTTACTGTGGACAGAATCGGTCAAACGAAATGTTAATAAGTAGTACGAGCCGTCAAATTGACTTGTTCAAATAAATACCGCTAACGAGTTCTCTCGTGTTTGAACTATTTTAAAACTGAGCACATGAACACGTTATTTTTACTGTTCTTGACGTCCAAATTTTATCAACGGCCTTGTGGGATCCCTTCCTAAATTTTATGATTAATAATTGCACTTCATGATCATTGCACTTTATTCTCGGTGCAATAAAAAACATCCTTCCAGTTTATGGTTCAGCATTATTATTTTGGGTTCTGGATGGATTATCTATTTTCTCGTATGGATTTTAACAGATTCCTGTCTGTAGCATCTACACGAACAACATAAAAATAAATTAATTTAGAAAATGTATAAACCTAAAATTATACCTTTAGTCCGATTATGTATAATAGGTATACAAACTTTGACAACTTCAAAATCCTGTTGTTTTTATCTTCGTCGCTGTATCTATTGTCAGATTTTCCTATTTAGCTTGAAACTCAGATTTTTTTCTCTTTCTCCATTAACTTCTGTTTTCTTATATCTCGTTCTGCAGCACCGTGTTTGACTTGTAGATTTGCACTTTTTGATTTCTTAAATACCGCAATCACATGTTGTTTTTCGTGGTGCGCATGCGTATGGCATCGCATTACTGACATTACTATGGAAGGGATTGGTCAAATGAAATGTTAATAAGCAGCACGAGCCGTCAAACTGACTGATGAGTTTCATCTTGTTTGAACTATTTTAAAACTGAGTACATGAACACGTAATTTTTACGACTCTAGACGTTTAAAATTTATCAATGGTGTTGTAGGAATTCTTCCCAAATTTTAAAACCAAATAACGTATTTATTTCGATTGCACTTTATTTTCAGTACAGTAATTCCTTTCCGGACCTGTGTATTTATTCTTATTTCCCGAGCTTAGATTGTAATAGGATAATTTTGACAAATGTCTATTTTTTGTATACATTTGCTCTAAAAAATGTATAGATTAATAAACGTTTTTAAAGTTCAACGAATTTATACTTGAATATTCGTTCTGATGATTCTGACTTTCCACACCAGTTTTATTTTTATTGGCGTTCCCAAAAATATTTTAATTGTTAATCATTACTGAGGTTACGGTGGACAGATGCACTTTATTCTGGGTGCAATAAAAATGTCCTACCAGTTTATGGTTCGGTGGTTTTATTTTGGCTTCTTGATAGATTATTTATTTTGTCCCGTGAGTTTAAACAGATTCCTATATAACATCTACACAAACAACAAAATAAGAAAATGTATAAAATAAAATTATACCTACATTTTGTATATGTATTTCAATCCTTTTTATGCGTGCCTTGTATTTCCATTCATGAAATCCAAAATTTTTTAATTCATAAATCACTTTCTTTCTACGAACCCCTTTCTTGTATCTGTGTTAATCCGGTGCTTCATTTTACTGTACCTATTTCCTTCCGAAAACAAACTTGAGATCTCTCGCTTTTTATTCATAAATTTTAGTTATCTTCCTCTACGTTTGGTTCTGCAATACCATGTTGACTTGTGGATTTTTGCTTTATGGTTTCATATCATGTTATTTTCAATATTGCGCATGCGTACGGGATCGCGTTACTGTCATTACTGTGGAAGCGATTGGTCAAACGAAATGGTAATCAGTAGCATGAGCAGTCAAACGACTGCTTCAAATAAACACAACTGACGAATTCTCTCGTGTTCGAACTATTTTAAAACCGAGCACATGAACACGTAATTTTTACGACATACGACTGTTTAAATTTTATCAATGGCCTTGTGGGAACCGTTCCCAAATTTTGTGGTTATTAAGTGTATTTAATGTTAGGGCACTTTGTTTTCACTACATCCATTCCTTTGTACAGCTGTAAATTTATTTTTGGTTCTCGAATGCTGGCTAAGGGAAGTACTGTAATAGGGTAAATTTGCCAAATGTCTAATCTTATATTTTTTGACGTTTATTTTTAAAACATTATAAATTAATTGAGGCTTCTAAAGTTGAACGAATTTATACTTTGAACTCTGGTGCTCACAACAATTTCGACAGCACTTCATCGAACAAAAAACATTTAAGTATGTTCTTAAAATACACAGTTTGTTTATTACAAGAAACATTTAAATGTGAATAAACAATTTGCAAAATTAATGTCTTAATTGTTGATAATTACTGGCATTACTGTGGAAAAAACTGCGTAAATGAAAGAGTGGCGCTAATCGTCAAATTGACATGTTAAACGAAATAGCATTGACGTGTTCTCTCATGTTTGAACTATTTAAAACCGGGCAGATGAACATGTTATTTTTACTGTTCTTGACGTCCAAATTGTGTCAATGGCCTTGTCAGGTCCTTTCGTAATTTTTATGATTAATAATTCTGCTTCCAGATTTATAACATTTTTTTCTCAGTACACTTAAAAGTGCCCTGTGTTTGTCGTATTATTTCGATTGTCGAAATTATACTTTCTGTTGGTCATGAGGATATTTCAGATTTTGGCAAAATTTATTGTCTGCTTATTTCCCATTTTTGTAACGCGGTTGGGACATTAATTTGACTTTCAAAGTACGTGGAGAGGTATTTGACATTTACTAGTGAATGCATCAGATTATATTTGCCAAAAGATTCAACCTATTGTCTTCCTGTGTGCCATTAAAATGCTAATATAATATGGGGACACAGAACTCTGCAGGTAGTAATAAGTTTGTGTTATAATGTAAGCTACTATGTTAGCGTTTTGGCATTAATATTTAAAATTTGAACTGAAAAAATAAAGTTCATAACGAAAAATAACTGCCATTAAATGTTAATTGTATTTTTTATGTTTTCTTCCGTTTAGTTAAATGGTATTGTAGATTAATAATATCACTTTATAGATAGACAATGTTCTTCAAAATGTTCTTATTAATGTTTTGTTTTTAATTCTTACATACTAGAGTCGTGTGAGTGAAAAAGATAAAATAACTTTTTTGTCTGTTAGAAAAGATAGTGCTATTAAATGACATGGCAATTAAATAAATTTTCTGCGTTCTATAATTAAAGACAGTAATAAATATTTTCTTTATTAACACCGGCGATACAGATGTAAAAATAGCACAATATTGCCGAAATTTTATAAATAATTGGCACAAAACTATAATATTGTGTAGTAGAGATGTTAAATTAAGTCCAATGTTTATTTTAGGCCGTCGTAACAACAAATACGGCAGGTGCGCTTTAGACCACATACTCTGTCAACGCAAAGGTTACAGTAGTCTGAACTGAAACATAAAACACCTAAATTAAAGTGTGACAACTTTAGTTTTAGTTAATGAAAAAAAAAATGGGGATCAAAAGTTTCCTCAAACAAACAACGAATGTTTTTAGTACAACACGCGTCTGAGCATGGAACACAAGAAATATAAGCGACAGTAATAGTTGTTCTATTTTTTTAAATTTCACATTTTTATGCCAAAAGCATTTACTTCTATAAGAATAATAACAACGTCATGAACATATTTTTTACATTAAAAAAAGTGTGTGTGGGTGGGTCCTGAATGTTTTTGTAAACTACTAAAGGTAAAACACAAAACTTTCAAGTAAGCGCTTACCAACTTTATTTTTAAAACCAGTCACATAATCTATTTTATAAAATGATCATAAATCATTATATAAAACTACTCACTAACTATAAAGTAAAAAAAATGGAATTTAATTCATTTCTGTGGCACTAGATTAAATAAAAGTAACAATAATATCTGCAAAAACAATATTCTTGACATGACATATTAGAAACCGATTTATATTGGTACCTTAAAATGTCAAATTAAAGCTTCCCTGTTTGAGATAACCATAGCATAGTCTTAAATGACATCTACTTTTTTGTTTATTTATTACAACAAATCACACCAATAAAATTAGCATTTGAAAGCATTTGTTCTAATTTTTGAAGGAACTAATAGTAAAAAATAACAAAACATATTGTATTTAAGGTGTGCTAAATGTTTTCGATTTAAATATGGCGGCAGTAGCCATTTTGATGAAAAGTTCGTACCATTACTTGATGTACAGGTGTCCCAGATAATCTCTTTTTGTAAAAAAGTATAAAAAAAAGTATTCTAGTACTTTATTTCACTCAATTTCAAGTTTTTTTATGAACATTTTTTTTTATTGACTACAAATGAAATAAACACCTAAGTATTTTATATTATTGTAATCGCTGTTTAATGGTATACCAAAATCCGTTAAAAAATATATGTCTACACAAAACCCTATTCGTTCTCAAGATATATTTGTCCGTGGAGTTTTATCTGGGACACTCTGTATATGCATTTCGATTTTACGTTTATATTTTTGATTTTTGATTGTTTTACTATTGTTAAAATTTAAAAAATATGTTCAAGTTTTGAAGAGAAACCTGTAATCCTGTTGTGCTATTTTTCCTTCTATTTCTTTTTTGATAAGTATCTTCTGTATTTAGTTATTGCGATTTTTAACTTTTTTAAGAAATACACATATTGAAAGAAAGAAAACAAAAAGTAGAGTAAGATGCAATAACAAAATATAGGGTGTTCTATTTGAAGAGATATCGATATTTGCAAATTGTAACGGTTTAGAATTTAAACACAGTGTATTGAAGACAATTGGAATGACGTCATATGGGAGTTTTAAAATTAAACTATGACTATAAAGCCTATAAAGAGTTAATTAGAATTTGTAAAAATACATAATACGGTGTCTTATAAAAAAACAAAGTTGTTTGCTATGCCTCAAAGACAATTTTCTTGTATTTGTAATGATTAATAAGATATTGAGAACAGTACGCATTATGACTCATCCTGTATTTTATATTGTTTCTTATATGAAAGCTTTGCGATAAGATATGTAGTAGTCTGGTGTTGGAGACTTTATTAGTTTTGAAAATTTAGAATTGTTCGAAAAATGGTTTAATTGTGCTTCAAACACGAGAGAAGTTTTATATAAATAACTTTAGACTAATTTTTTCTTAAAAAAACATAGTAACCATACTGAAAGAGAACAGAATACACCACGAAATTTAAGTAATAAATAAAATGTGGGTTTGGACTCCTATCTATCTTGTGTGTTTTAATTTGACATTATCTTTATCTAATGATAAACGGGGAGTATTTGTAGTATTAACTAATTGAAGAGCTCTTTTTTTTGTATTGAATAATTGTAATAATTATTATTATCAACCCCACTATATACAAAGTGTCTATAAATGATTCATACATCGCAGTACCTGTGGAAAACTGTTAAGTTGCAGTTATTTCAAGATGGAAACCACTTTCACCATTTTTGGTGACTTATTGAAATTTTAATTTTAAAAATAAAACTATATGTAAAAACATCATTTCTTACAAACGGCAAAATTATTTAATTTACAAAAATTAAAATTTTCCAGATGTCGCGACGTCGAAATAGTCCAAAAACCTAGAAACGCTTTTTGTTACAAAAAAGACTGAGGAGAAGTATTGGGAACGTAGAAGTTTTATGTTTTCTCTATTTTGTTTTTTTTTTTCTGAATGATACGAGAATAAAACGCGAGAACTTAAGAAATATGAAATCATTTTTCTACTTTGCGTAAACATAAATTCATTGTTCAACTAAAAATAGCTCGACAATGGAAGCGCTAC